ATCGGGGCTCCCAGAGCCACCCCAGCTGGGGCCCCCGCAGCCCGCCTCCTCCGGATCCCGGGGCCCTGCGACTTCAAACGCGGCTTCCTCACTTCCCAGACCTGTCCCCGCTACTGAGCATGCCCAGTCCTGCCCGCCGCCGCCGCCGCCGCCACCGACGACTCTCAGCATGGGGACTGAAGTTCTCCGGGTCTTCAAAGAAGGGATAGGCGGGTTGGGCTTTGTGTAGCGAAGAGAGCCGAGGAGAGACTGAGCGAGGCGGGCAGCTTCCGGAGGAATGCACGGGGAAGACGTTAAATACTGGAATTTGTAGAGGTTTCAGGTTTGCTACTCCTCTCGCCTGTGGGCTAGATACCGTCGCAAGGTCATTCACGTTGTTCCCTCCTCCCTGAAACCCTTGTGAGTGTGTTTGAGTTTAAGTGATCCAACTGCTCACAGGCCTGAGGGGAGGGAGGAGAAGGGATTATTTTTAGAAAGGTAGGCTGATTTGGAGAGGGTGGGGAGTGCTGGCGCAAACACGAGCACCGCGTGGTCTCGTGGAGTTGTCTTTTGCGGGGAGGAAACCTAGGAATACAGTGTAAGGACAGTGAAGGGCACAGCTGTAGGCAGGATTAACCAGAGCTGGAAGAGACCGAGTAAACAGAAGCAGCCCCGGCTATAAAAAGCGCTTTCCTCACCCAGAAAGGACTTTAAGAGACAATGTCGTGCTGTTTGTGGAGTGAAGGAGTTGCCTGTGTTTTAATGAGGTGGGATAGCCTCAGCATCAAGTGGTGGTCGACACCAGAAACTTTGGAGTCAAAACTGGGCTCAAATTTCAACTTAGCCAATTAAGCAAGCCCAAGAAAATCATTGCTAAAGTTAACACACCTGGCCATAGGAAACAGGACTGGGCATGCTCAGTAGGCAGGACAAATTTGGATGGTGAGCATCTTCCCAAAGTTGTGTAATCCCTGAGGCCTCAGCATTTGAATCTACCTGGACGTACCTGGTACAGCCTGTCACACAGTAAGTGCTCAAAAGAGATTGTTGGGGGCAGAAATAGAATAGCAGAGAGTAGCTATAGTTATAAGAAATATTAAACATGCTCTGTTAACCGTGATTGTTTTGTTCTGATTAAAGAAAGCATATTTTCATCTGGCTGGGAGTTGTACACCCCGGGACCTGGGAGTTAACCTTGGAATGCCTTCCATTCTCATCCAAGAAATGCCTATCATTACGGAGAGATTAACAACCTTGTTACCAAAAAACAATGGAGTCCCAGAGGCATCCACACTTTGCAACCCCTCAGCCCACATTACCTATAATCTGTAACCATTTTACCCGTTTTTTTTACTTTTCCATACCCATTCTTATTCCTTTTGCTTACTTCCCCATGTAATCCTTGTCTTTCTACCCAATATAAGCAGTTGGTTTATTGGGGGTAGGGGATGCAGAGTAGATTTTCGTGGATGACCTGTTGCTCTCCCAAATTGGCTGCCATTATTGTAATAAAACCTCACATATGGCCCTAGCCGGTTTGGCTCAGTGGATAGAGCGTTGGCCTGTGAACTCAAGGGTCCTGGGTTCGATTTTGGTCAAGGGCACATGCCCGAGTTGTGGGCTCGATTCCCAGAAGGGGGCGTGCAGGAGGCATCTGATCAATGATTCTCTTTCATCATTGATGTTTCTACTTCTTCTCTGAAATCAATAAAAATATATGTTAAAAAAAAACAAAAACCGCCCTGGCTGGTTTGGCTCAGTGGATAGAGCGTTGGCCTGGGGACTGAAGGGTCCCGGGTTCGATTCCAGTCAAGGGCACATGCCCAGGTTGTGTGCTGGATCCCTGGTGGGGGGCGTGCGGGAGGCGGCCGATCAGTGATTCTCATCATTGATGTTTCTATCTCTCTCTCCCTCTCCCTTCCTCTCTGGAATCAATAAAAATATATTAAAAAACAAAACAAAAACAAAAACCTTACATATGATCCAACCCTGTCTGCTTAATTGGCTTAAGTAGCGACAGGCAGCCCAGACCCATTAGTTGTCTGGTTTCAAGGTCATTATTCTAATTTCATTGTTATTATTAGTTCACCCTTCATTTCAAACAACCGGAGCAAACCATGCTCGCAGCCATATTCATTGTGTGGTGTATTGTGCGTGATGTTCTCCATTATTTGTACTTAACCCATGGAGGAGTCAGAGGCTTCCCTGCATTCAGCAGCAGCCCCATTGGCAATGCCTTCAGCAGAACCTTACCTAGAAGCAGACATTTAGGACCCATTTGAGTGCTCAGGTCCTGTGGTAGGCAGTTAGACAGACAGGAGCAGAGCAAGGATGACGGGCCAGGTATAGACGGTCACCAAGGTGGAAAGCCCTGGGTGCCTAGCAAAGAACAATTGTAAAGTGGGACCTCACCCCCAGGGTGACCTTTCCTCCCCTAGCAGTTTGGACCCCCTGACCTTTCCTTCCTAGAGATAACATCTAGGCCTCAGTTGTATTTCTGCTCCAGGCCCAGAAAAGCAAAACCAGCCACAGCTGACCTCAGGACCAACTGCTTTGAATAATGACCCAGTGTCAGCCAGCCAATCAGTGGAGTCCACAACCCTGAAAGGACACACCTGGGAAAAGGCCGAATATTCTATCTATTGTCACCTTCTGCTGGAATCTTCCCCAAAATCTCCACCTTTAAAACCTGTAGGACATGGACCATGTGCGCTCTCACTCCCGAGAGCAACCTGAACCTTTTCTGTCCTTGTCCCCTCTCCCCAGGCTCCTTACCATTAGCTTCCTCACTCCCTAGCTCCAAGGGCCCTCCCTTTAACTCTATAACTTGTTTCCTAAGCCTGTTTCTTCTAGGAATTACTTTTTCTACTTCTGTGATTTACCAAATAAATGTTTTATAGTTTGGGTCTTGGCTCTGAATTCTTTCCTAGCCAGAACTCAAGTACCGAGGTTGCTGAACCCAGGAATGGTCTGATCCCACTGGTCTACCACCCAATGCTGTTCCAGCCTCCTACAACAGTCCATCCACTCTTTCTTTTCAGATAAGGAAACGGAGCCACAGAGAGATGGCTGAGGTTATTAAGAGCAAAGCTAGGGCTAAATCCTAAATCTTCTACTTATCTCTGCTTCCCTGACCTTATATTTGAAGACAGAAAAACACCTAGGTTATCTTCTTATAGAGTAGTAAGAAGCTAGGAAAATTCCAGGACCAGTGGAATGGGGAAACTAAGACTGATAGCTAAAAAGCAGTTTGCAGCCACCTAGTAAATCCTATCTTCCCTAAACCAAGGACACACGAGGAAATGGTTTGCACCTCTCCCCAACTAGAGGGTGAATAGCTTAAATCACTCACCCTACTCCGGGAGACAGATAACAGAAATCCAATTAGTGCCATTTGCTAGCCACACCCAAGGGTGACAAATTAAGAGAATAAATCTCCTTAGGTACATCTGCATAGAGCTGATGAATATTCTAGTGATACTCCCTAAATGCCCAGCCTTTGAAGCCCCGGAAGACAGAGGTCCCCACGTATCCCCTGAGCTCTAAGGGACCCCATAAGGCTTGCAACTGGGGGTGCCAAGGGGCTGTGGCAGCTCCTCCGGGGCGAACCCCCTGAACTTTTCTCTGACTCTCCAGTGAGCCAAGGCAGCCTGAGCTCCCTCTACAAAGCAGCCTTTCAGTCCCTCGAATGATTATCTCTTTGCTGTTTCCATTGCTTGAAATTCTCTTCCCCCAGACCTCTTTGCCTACCGGATTCCAGCTCAATCCTCGGATCTCCGCTTCAGTCTCTTACATTTAGAGAGAACTTCCTGAT